GGGGAGACAGGAGACTCCCTCGTAAAACCCTTATTCATTGCTGTCTTCCATTGTGTAAAATCTCTAGGTTTTCCACTAGAAAGAGTCTTTAAATTAGAATACAAGGATGGATACATGTACCCTTCTCTTCAATGAACAAAACCCCTAAGCATAGAAAGAATTCAAGACAGAGTTACCTGTAATCTTTTAGTTCAACAACAAATGTCAGAACTGGCCTGGGCAATGTCATGCAAACCACCTTGGAACAGAACCTGAATTCATAAACCTACTTTTATAAATAATACTTGCAGTCTGCTGGGTCGCTCTTTGTAAGCAGTTTGCAGTGGGAGGTGTATATGGTAATATTTACATTTTCTACTCTGTGCTTACTCTTAAGCTCTTCTGGGTAAAAAAATGCAACTGTTTTTGAAATCTCATTTATGAATATAGGCTATATATTGGTATTATCACATCCCTGGGGAAAATTAATTTAATAACATTATTAGGCCAGCTTTTCTTGGAAGAAGGACTTTCTGTTCGTGGGCCCCAGGACTGTGCAGCCATTAAGAGATCGTCCTGTGCCCTTTAGGCCAGTGTAATCATATTTTCATTCCACTGTCTGTGTCTTTGGAGGCCTGTACCCTCTCTATTTTAGTTATACAGATAGTTGTAAGAAACAACAAACAAGAATGTTTTTATGGGTGCAATATAGCCCAATGGCAGGAAGATGTTGGGGAAATTTTTTAAAGTGTGTGGACATTCTTTCTGAGTGTGAAAGATGTGAACACACCTCAAGAATGTAGGTCATGTGAAGGCATGCATGTATCCCTTGCTTCAGTGCCTTACATCCAGCTAATGGACAGTGAGTAGGTGACAGGGAAGGAGGGAGATGAATGGACAGGAGTATTCTTAGCATTTTCCTTATTATTTCTAATCCCTAAAATTATACTATTCTAATCCTTATAATTAATGCTCCAACTACAGAAAATATCAGATATGTTTCTGTTTTTATCAAATATGCTTATTGTGTATTTAAATTGAATATTAGTCAAAATGTAAAGCAAGGAAGAATAGAGAAACTACATATCAGTAGCCATCCTTGCTACTGTGTTTTTGGTTATTTTAAGTAAATGTTCTGCATTAGTTAAAATAGCTCTCTTTTTAAAATTATTTATTTATTTTTATGTTATGTGTATGAGTGTTTTGCCTAGATATATGTATGTGTACCACATGTATGCAGTGCCCATGGAGACCAGAAGAGGGATCAGATCCCCTGGAACTGGAGTTGTTAGCAGCCACCTGGGAGCTGATAACAAACCCCTGGTCCTCTGCAGGAGCATCCAGTGCTCATAACTGCTGAGCCATCTCTCCAGCCCCTAAAATATCTCTCTTGAATCAAAGAAAATATTTGAATTTCATAGGCATTATAACCTTGCTTACAATAGATAACAAGTTTAGTCTAAAGTTCTCTGAACAATCGGGACACAAATAGCAGACATGGAGTTCCAAGGTAGCTGTGTCCTCACAGATCCCTCCTGTCTTTACATCTTTTTTGCCTCTAAATGTTAAAATATAAAGTTATAAAAGAATAAATGAATCAACAAATGAGAAACAGCCCTTTCCTTTGACACTCAGATTACTACTATTAGCATGTTATGGTATTTCTTAGAACTTTTTTCTAATCTTTTCTTAAACTTTTTTTAGACATTGTTGAGATGATACTACTCAAATTACTATTTCCATCCTTAGTTAATATTTTCAGATACTATGAAATATGCCAGGCAGGGTACTGCACCCACTGTTGACACTTCAGTGAGAAGCTCTTAGTATTACACACTGGTGTGATGAAGAAAGAATTCATTAAAAAACCTGGCACCATTCAGAATGGAGCACCCAGTGCTGTGAGAATCAATAGGCACTGAGCCTATCAGGCGAGTAAGTTCTTTGGACTGTGTGTGCATGAACATCCACTGCTAAATTTAATAATTTTTGGAAACTAAATGTTTAAAGTATTGGTGAACCATCTGGTGCTCTGCAGGTTGTGAATGACTAAATCTTTGGGTTGCCTTTTTCCAAATACGTGATCTGACATACTTTTCCCTTTAAGTGAATCCTGTGGCACTTGCTCCATCACTCAGCCTCTCTGGCCACTGTGTACTCCTTTCTGTGGATGTTCTGAGCTCATTCTCTGTACTTGATGCCTGAAATGCTCTGTCTTTCCTGTCCCCGACATTATGTCTTTGCTTGGAAAATTCACCTTTTCCCTCTTCCCTCTTTCAGATTAAATGGCTCTTCCTTAGAGAAAACCCCCGTGGTCTTCTTTGCAAAAACAAATCTTTGTAGCACCCCCAGAACCTCAACAAACAAAGAAACAAAAAAAAAATCTTCCAATTGACAGTCCTTCATATGGAGAAAAAAAAGAGGACTGAAAAAATTCATAATGCACCCCAAATATGTACTGCAGGAGTTGAGCTATTCCGTTTCAGAGATAATCTATGTGTTACCTGAGACTAGAACAAAAGCATGGTTGTATTCTAATGTTTTCATAACTTATGTCATAAGAAATGAAGCAAACTCACCTGCAACTTTGTAATAATTTTAGTAAATAACAAAGGTATTCTTTGGGTCCAAAAATGAGGGAAGCTGTCAATGGATGTAATTGCTGTCAGTCATTCAACACCCCCAAGGTACCCGTGATCAGTCCTACCCACAGAACTTGTCTGTCTTCTGTCTTGGCTTTGCTTTTGCCCTATCTGTCTGTCTGGGTATATGAGTGTGTGTTATGAAAGGGGAAACAAAAGCAGGAAAAAAATCCAGACGCAGTCATCTGAAAACATCTTTTACAAATACGAGCTTGTCAGGGTTCTTTCCTTTTTGTTTCCGTTTGTTTGAGGCAGGGTCTCCCTGTAGCCCCAGCTGGCCTGGAACTTGCTATGTAGACCAGGCTGTCCTCAATCTCACAGAGATCTACCTGCCTCTGCCTCCTGAGTACTGGGATTTAAAGCATGCACCACCATGCCTGGTGAGATTGTCAGTTTTAAAAGTTCTTGCTAACAATAGCAACATTATTGGGAGAAAAAGCCCTTAATTTTAACTGATGTTAGTTTCATGATGTTCTACATTTCATATTGTCTGCCTTAGAAAAAGAGAATTAATTGAATTTCTGGCAAAGAAAAGGGAGTACTCCCTGGCCTCGGGTCAAGAATTCCCTTACCTACAACCAGCATTCCCACAAGTTATTCTCTGTGACATCTTCAGGCAGTTTTCCTTCCTAGCCTTTATCAAAGCCTAGAATTTTTTTTGGTCATTTATGTTGTTGTTGAACATCATCTTCTCCCATTAGAGTTCAAGCTGCATGAGATCCTTGTCCTTCATGGGTTTGCCACTCCACTTAAACTGTCTCCCATGTCCCTACCGTGGGGCTCTGCATTTGGTTGGAAGTCAAATACACATCAAATGAATGAATAAATAAATGAATCAGTTTTTCTGAGGCTTATTCTTAAGCCCTGTCCTACTTGTTATATTTGAGGAGACAAGTTGACAAAGTACATGGTTTTCTGACAGGATCTTCCCATTCACTCAGTGATTACTGAGTGCCTGTCACCAGATCAAGCCCTGGAAATGCCATATGAGTAAGGTGTGATTTATACCATCTAGGACCTCAGAGACAGGCAGAAACAGACACGTGTGCATAAATAAAAGTGTTTAAAGGAAATATATAAACAGACTATTGGGAACAATGAGGAAGAATTAGTCTGCCTGGGATATGAAAGTTTTCATAGAGCCAGTGATATTTATGCTGTGTCTGGAGGGAAGAGGGAAAGTTTGTTCAAGTTAATCAGTGGGGAAAAAGAGCATCAGGGCCAAAGATGGGAGAATGAATGGCATGCTTAGACAATAGTGTGTATTGAGTGGGGTGGATTGCAAATGCTACACCAGGAAGTCTGTATTTGATCTTATAGGAGTTAGGGAACCTGCTTAAATAAGGAAGGCCATGGTAATAGGTATGTATTAATGTGCATCGGTGTACAGAGTTCTCTGGAGGGGAGCAGGTGCTGTGGTTAGAAAGCTGAACCATTCACTGCAATTGTAGGCATTTTCAGTTAAAGTTTATAATGTGTATCTTTCGTAGAGATGAATCTTAAACATTTTTGCTAGAAATTAGAAGTTGTTTTAAAATATATCTTCCACATGAATACTTTTAACTTGTTATTTGTGTGTGTGTGTGTGTGTGTGTGTGTGTGTGTGTGTGTATGTACAGTGGAGGGGGTAGTATATATATGTGTTTACATGGATATGTGCATGTGGAGGCCAGAGGTCAATGTCAGGGGGTCTGTTTTATTATTTTCCACCTTTTTAATTATTTACTGATTCTTGATGCTCAAGGAGAATTTTATTAGAAATTGAGAGAGAAACAGCAGGGCAGGCAAGCTGTGAATCTTGGCAGCTGCTGGGAAGACAGAGATGGAGAAGAAAAGACAAAATCATGCCTTTTAAAGTAGGCCAGAAGGTTGGGTCTGAAAAGAAGACAGAAAGAAGGAAAAGCTCTGCCTTTGAGTTAGAACTCAGAAAAGCAGGCAGTCCTAGCTGTATCGGTCTGCAAGCAACTGCCTCCAGCTTAATGTTTGAGGCAGAGTCTCTCAGTGAACCTGGAGCTTGTCCATTTGGCTAGGCTAGCTAGCCAGTGAGCTCTGGGGGTCTTCCTGTCTCTGTCCCCACAGCACTGGGGTTACAAATCTGTGCCCAGCTTTTTATATGGGTCCTGGAGATCTAAACTCAGGTCTCATGCTTATGCAGCAGGCAATTTACCAACTGAGCCACCTCCCCAGCCTGTTACTTTTTCCTGTGTAGAATCTTGGGAATTTTTGAGAACTGTGTTTTTAATCTGCAGAACAAGCTTCATGACTCCTCATGTGAAATGAATGGGGGCCTTTTCCCTCTTCCCCTTGTTAAAGTATGCTATATTTTCAGTGCTTCGTATAAAAAAGGGAACAAACAAATCATAAAGCTCTCTTTTGTAGTTCCGCGGCAGCCTTCAAATGACCTGTTTGAAATATTTGAAATAGAAAGAGGAATCAGCGCAGATGATGAAGCCAAGGATGACCCAGGTACACACTGTTGCATTTCATTATTTCCCTTCATTTCAAGAAAATGACTTTAGAAAAAGTTTTCCAATTGGCTTATAAAACCATGAGTTTCATTATAACAAGAAAACAACTTTTAAATTGTAGATCATTCAGTCACATTTGGGGAAATTAGGCATGTCTTTCTGCTTTTTTGTTTTGTTTTGTTTTTACAACTCAATTGGTTAAATCACCTGAACAAAAATAATTATGATTCATCATTTTTTAAATTGCATTTAAACAGTATCTGAATATGGGGAAGGAGGTCATAGTTAAATGGTGATGCAGCAGGGTCAGGGTTGGCAGCATTCGTGTGTCTATTCTCCCAGCTTGGTGCATATACGCTGTGGTGCTGCCAAGAGATTTGTGTGATTTCCTTTTGGTCCCAGATATGAAGTGCAGACAGGAAAGAGCTCTTGTTACTCAAATACTTGGGTTTACAAAGTGTTTGTTGTTCTTTGATGAGAGTGATCATTCTTCTGGTCATTTCCTTGTAGGTATTCTTGTACACAGTTGTAATTTTGACCATGGCCTTTGTGGATGGATCAGAGAAAAAGACAGTGACTCGCACTGGGAGCCAGTCAGGGACGCAGCAGGTAAAAACACATTGCCTCACACCTTCTGGTACAGTTGGCTCCTTTTGTCAGTCAAATGTACTATTGCATGCCTCTGTGTTGTGTAATAATGGGTGCTCGATAAGCGAGGCAGGCTTGTTAGACGCTGATCAGTATTTTGTGGGAGACAGGTAGTTTATCAGAAGGCCAGCTCATTCGTCTCAAAAAGCTTGGTAAATAAAATATTTAGACTCATTATAGCATATAATTTTCAAGGTACTTATAGTACTCTGTTCCTAAAAATAAATGAAATACTGTAATGGTCTATCAACTGTGGTAATAGTCTGGTTACTTTATCAGTTATTCCCTTCTCATTAAAAAAAAACTTTGATTTATTTTATTTTTTATCTTTTGTGTATGAGTGTGTTGCCTACATGTATGTAAGTGCACCTGTGTCATGCAGTGCTGGTGGAGGACAGAAGAGGGTGTTAAATTCCCTTGAACTGGAGTTACAGATGGTTGCTAATCACTATGTGGGTGCTGGGATTCGAACCTGGGTCTTCTGTAAAAACAGCCAATGCAGAGCCATCTCTCCAGCCCCCCTTCCTATTTTTAAAATAAAGATTAAATAGTAGATGATAGAGGAAATGAAAACTTACACAAAGCTGTAACTAGAAGAAAATTCACCCTAAGTTTGATCCCAGAGGGAGCAATTACAGATCACCATCTCTTCTTCCAAAAGAGGAAATTATTAAAGAGGTGGGTTTGGGCATAGTTCCCTGGGAAATTAACAGACTTGTAAACTGCACAGTGCCTAATAATGTAAATTTTCAGTACTTATTAGGCATTTTTCCTAGTTTCATGAAGTAAAGGGGGTTCTTTTTTCCCTACTCAGTAATAAAAGTTTTTTATGAGTAAGTCCACCTTGATGGATGGGTGAAGAGAGTGGTTTCCTTTTTTCCTTTTTGTTCTCCTGGCTTCAGCTTCCCAGAATAAAACATAAAAGATATGAAGGAAAAGTATTCCACTGTATGTACCTTAGAAGCCTAGTTCCTCAATACTGTCCTGTATCCAGAGCACAGAACACAAATAAGTTAGTGTGTGAGCTTGGGATCTATTATAGAAGCACCTCTCCACTCGGTGGGAGTGCAGTTAGTGGGGCTGTGCCAAGGGACTTGTAATCTGTTCCCTGGGGATAATGTCTGTGTTTACAATGTCCTTCCTCAATGCATGGTTTGAGCCGCAAGGCTTTAAATAGTCTATAGTACATTCTTTAGATCTTCTAGAATTGCATTAAGATACTTTAGAATAAAAATTTAAGGTAAACTTTTGAAAATACAAATATTCAAACCATTGAGATGGTTTTAAAGATTTCTTTTAGTTATAAAAATCATGTAACACTTCCTAGAGTAACTTGTGCTCATTCCCACTCTGTTTACACTCATTTAAGGTTAGTCTGAGCTTGATCACTTCGTTATTGTCACAAGTGTCTATGAATAACAGAGAATGCGACAGATGCTAATGTCCACTGTAATGCCAGCCCATTCTTCATCTCATTAAAGTTATTTAATCTTCATATCCACCCACTGAAGCAGGTGATACTGTCTTTATTTCACAAAGGAAGTATTGATCCCCAGAGAGGCTATGTAAGTCTAAGGCCACAGAGTAATGGAATTTAGTGTCACACCCAGGTCTTTGACTATCTCCAGACCCCTCTGTACTCCCCATTCAGCCTTTGGTCAGCTCAGTGCCCACAGCACTATCACATGTGGTCCTGTGCCTCATTTAGTTAGTACATCAGGCCTGTAAGTGTGACCATGTCAGACTGCTGACCTGCAGTACTTTGCTGCAGAAAGAGTGACAGAGCTTCCATGAGTGACAGAGCTGTGAATATTGTCCATGGTCATAAGGAATAGCTATTTTGAGTAAGCTACACTGTGAAGTATTTATTATTCATGCTGAGTTCAGGAAAGTTCACAGTCTCTGTTTATAGATATTCTTTGTAAAATAGACTAAAATTGTTTTTAAAACACTACTTTAGAACCAGTGTACTACTATTCAACATTATTGTTGTTACATTTGCAAACATTTCTGTTTGTGGCCCAAATTCTTTTTGTCTCCTGGTAGAAGATACATGGAATTTAGAACGGTAGGCAAAAATGTTTTAAGTGGTCATTGTTTGTGTTAGAACTGAACAAATGGAGAGGAAGTGGTGGCTCCTTGGGTGATGGGTAACACCTGATGAGTACATCTGGGTCCTGGAGGATGCTTCTCTGGGGTTTGTTCAAGCTTGGATAAAATGGATATTGAATTTAGATATTGAAGACAACTTGACCTAACTGTGGTTGACTCAAAGCTGGAGAGAAGAATGACTGTGTGCTGACATAGCCATCATCCAAGAGATTAGTTTAATGTGTTATAGCTGTGAAGGTGAACTCTGAAGATGAATATGGCTCAAGGTCTAGAAACCAACCACAGCTGCTGAAAGGAGATGTGAATGAGCCCTAACTATGAAGGACTTGAGAGTTGAATGGTTGATGAAGTCATTGTAAGTGAACCTTGTGACACTTATTTCAAAAAGATGGATAGTTTCTATAGTTATAGTACTTTCCTGAAGGGAAAATACAGTGTGGTTAAGTGGTTGACCCACTTCCGAGGATTCTTTTCATCTGAGAAAAAGACTTAAATGCACATTACTTAGAGTGACCTGGCTAGAAAGGTATATTCTTCTTTATCTATAAAAAGCAAGTGAAGAAGCCAGAATATGCAACCTGGAGAAGTAGCAGAATTGCACTGCTTTGCAAACAGCCAGGGTAGTGGTTCCTTGTGATTCCAAGGGGAGGAGAGGTAGGGCCATGGCAGAAAACTACAGAGAGATTTAGATTTTGGTTAACTCTCAGAAAGAGCTTTCTAATAGAGCTTTCTAAAGAGAAATCAGGCTGATGTGGGAGAGGTGAGCTCTCTGTTGATGGAGACATTTGATGGGGTGGCCTATGGCAAGATGTTGTTAAAGAGCTTAATCATCCATTGAGATTAACTAACCTCTTAAAGGCTAACCTCATAAACTAGTTGGAAGGACCCTTGTTCGTGTGGGCAATATCCCAAGTAGCCCCAAGAAATTAGTGAGCAAGTTTTAGCTTGGAAAGAAGGACGGGATAGAAAGACCAAAGAGTTTGCTCAAAGGGGTAGGAGAGCACAGAGCACGTCAGAGAGCAATTGCAGAATTGTTCTTTAGAGTGTACTGGGGGATTCTAACCATGTACCAATGGGGAAATACTCCCAAAGCTTACTTTTCATGCCTGTTTTTTTTTTTCTCTAGAGTGTAGATGTTTAGGTAGAATGTGTGTGTGTGTGTGTGTGTGAGAGAGAGAGAGAGAGAGAGAGAGAGAGAGAGAAGAGAGAGAGAGAGAGAGAGAGAGAGAGAGAGAGAGAGAGGTTAAAAACTAGAGAGAAATACAAGCAATTTACCAAGTTCCAAGCTAATATTTACCCATTTCTATCTATATTATACTATTTGTAAAAGAATATGTATTGGATTTTCAGTTATCACTGATTTTAATGATGTGCAATTCTTATCCAAGATCCAGATTCATAAAAATTTTATTTGCTGGGGCTGGAGAGATGGATCAGTAGTTAAGAGCACTAGCTATTCTTGCAGAGGACCCAGATTCAATTCCCAGCACCCACATGGTGGCTGACAACTGTCCATAACTCCAGTTCCAGGAGAATCTGACGCCTTCCTCCCACCTCCTCAGGCATTGCATGACACAGTTGTACTTACACACCTGCAGGCAATACACTCATACACATAAAATAAAAATAATAATATTCCCTTTAGTCCCAGCACTCAGGAGGCAGAAACAAGTGGAATTCAAGGTCAGCCTGGTCTACACTGTGAGTTCCAGGCCAGTTGGATCACCTGTCTCAAAAAAAAAAATTATATGCTAATATTTTTAAGAAAACCCTCAAACTTACAGCCTTGAGAAACAGCTATAAAATAAGTACATTTGCCAACTGTCCTTAGTGCTGTTAGGTTTTGTTCATCACGTTGTCTTGAATTTAGCTGTGAGCTGTGAAATCAAGAGTCCCCCAAAGAATGAAAACATGTCTGCTGACAGGCATGGTAAATAGCTGCTGCCTGAAGGCTGCAGCCTTCTCCTGTAGGCAGGGATAGACCTGGAGCCTTGATCTCCAGTGATCCAGGATGAAATCAACGCAGTCTGCTTCTCAGGGCTGCAAAGAATTTACTTAAACCCTTAACATGTCCATCAGTGTGCATGTAAACATATGGCTAGTACAGAATTTAAAACTTTGAAATAAACATAAATGGAAACATAAATCAATGCAGGTAAAAATTCCCCTCTCAAATTCACGCTCCCCAGATGTAGCCAGCTTCCTGGCTGTTTCTCGGGGTGTGTTTGCACAGTGGCATCATCTTCTGCACCTTGAGTTTTTCACTCAATGATACTGTCTTAACAATATCAAGAGTTAATAAGAACAACATGGACTTTGAAGCCAGAATGCCCAAGGTAAATCCTATCCGCACCATTTACTAGTTTTGACCTTGAACAAGTTACCTGAATGGACCACTCAGTAGTATCTGCTACTAAATAAACATACTTACAACATTTCACCACTGCAAAGGTTTCCACCATTGTTGCTGAGGAGCTCCTCCAATCCATTTATGGTGAAGGCTACATTCTATTTTATCTTTACCAAACTTTAGGAAAAAGGCATCCCATTTTAATTTTAATTTGCTTATCTTTCTTTTGTAAAAGGCTGTCCTTTTCATATATTTATATGTCATTTTTCTGTAATGTCTTATTTTTCTTTTGTTTTTGTCATTCATTTATAAATATTTTTATATAAGAGGAAAATTATCTACTTTTTGTGTCGCAATAGTTCTAATTTTTTCTTATGTATTTTATAGTATTTTTATCTTTGAAAAAGTGAAAAATTTGTAAACAAATCAGCAAAATGGAAGCTGGGTGTGGTGGTGGCACACCTTTAATCCCAGCATTTGGGAGACAGAGGCAGGCAGATCACTGTGAGATCCAAGTCAGCCTGGTCTACATAGTGACCAGGCAGCTGGGGCTACAGGAAGACCCTGTCTCAAAACAAACAAACTAACTAACTAACTAACTAACTAACTAACTAACTAACTAACTAACTAAATGGGAGGTGGCAATCTGGCCCAGAGGGTAAAAGCACTTACTGCAAAGCCTGATGACTTCAGTTCAATCCCCAGAACTCACACAGGTGGAAGGAGAAAACTGACTCCACAAAGCTGTCCTCTGACTGCCACACTTGTATTATGACACGAGTACCACACCCCCACACACACACACAATAAATTTTTTAAATTTTAAATGAGAATAAAATGAAGTTAACAAAATGATTAATTGCATACTTGTGCTATAAAAAGTATCTATATTTGCTGATATAAAAAATGGCTTAGGAGCTGGAGAGATGACTCACCAGTTAAGAGCACCTGTTTCTCTTGCAAAGCACCCAGGTTTGGTCCCAGCACCCATATGCTGGATCATAACCCTCAGTCATTCCAGCTTCAGGGAATTGGACCCTCTTCAGGCCTCTGCAGACACCAGGCATGCACGAGGTGTATATATATTATACACGCAAACAAATGCACTCGTGCACATAAAAATAACAGCAAGCCCAATCTTAGTTGAAGAATTATTGGCAGCTGATTACTGCTGGGTGAGGAATAGCAGATCTTCTTGAAGAGAGAGTCTCTAGGTAGGCTGACTAAACCCCAGTGGATGAACTTGCACTGAAGGACATCTCAGGACACTAACTTTACATAATAGGCCTTAATACAAATGATGGAATGTAGCTGTGGGAGGGTGTCAAAGGGGAAGGGAGTATAAAGATGATTTTATGTATGAAATACACAAAAATTCAATAAAAATTATTTAAAAATTGCAAAACCATCAATGAGTATACAATTTTTAATAAGTAGCATTTGAATACTTACCTTTTGGGGTAAGTTTTGCAGCATCCTCCAATTCTTTAGAACTTATAATAGTTTAAGATGAATGAAATTTTTTTATAGACATCTACATTTAAGCCACTATTTTGGAATCAGAAATAAAATTTTTATTTAATGGGTAACTTGTTTGGAATTCTTTTAGTTATTATTCCAACTTTATAAGATTTCATTTTATTACATGGAGAAAAAAAATCTTAATGGTATAGAAAAATAAATACCTAGGGCCTATGAGATGGCTCACTGGGTAAGGGTGCTTACCACCAAACAAGATGGCCTGAGTTTGATCCCTGGGATCCACATGTATGCCATGGCATGTATATACTCCCTACACACAACAAATAAATAGGATTTTTAAAACAAACAAACAAATACCCTAGTAGAGAGCAGCCCTGTGGAGGAAGAATATCATCACAGTTTTAGAGTTTTAAATGTGTATGGAGAAGGGTTATTTGGGCCAGGCTTAAGAGCACTCAGGAGGCAGAGACAGATGGACCTCTCTGTGAGTTCAAGGCCAGCCTGGTCTACATAGCGAGTTCCAGGCCATCTGGGGCTACAGGGAGACCCTATCTCAAAAAAAGGCATCCTATTTGAATCTTGGGATACCTTGATTTGTTAGGTTGCTGTTTGCATGCAGTATCTTGCAAAATGATATAACATACATTCCACGAGGACTTAAGATAATCCTTGTTTTCTTAAAACTTAAAGGTTCACTATAATAATCCTATATCTTAGTCTTAACCACAGTATCTGTGGTGATTCAAAAGCTGACTTATAGGCAGTCATTTAACATGTATGTAAAGTTCTTTGCCAATATATTTTGGGGGTTAATCTGGGGGTTAATTCAGGTTGGGACGGGAAGAAGATAAACTGTATGCTTGTTAGTGACTCAGTACATGAGTCAACAACCAATTTTCTGACAGGGTTTTGCTGCATTTTGGAACATCAGTCATTTATTCAACAAATAACCTTAACACCTTTTCTATCCTAGGAGCATGGCAGGGGGGAGGGGGTGGTCTAGCATCAGTCATTTGCAGCCTGCAGGGAGCACTTAGCCCAAAACATGGGTAATTCACAGTTATTCAAAAGTCACCTGTGTTCTAGGAGAGTGCCAAGGGGACTTGGTAGAGAAAAACTGAGTAAGAAGACATCCCAAGTCTTACCAGTCTGTACAAACAAAGCATAAGATGATGGCAGTGGTATGTCTGTCAACTGAAAAGGAAATGAGGTTTGACCGCAGCAGATACATGTGTTCAGCATTCCAACCACTTGTCCATTCCTGTGGATAAATCAGTGTTGAAACTTTACAGTGTGCTTTCAGTTGGCTATGATAAAAACTGCCCGAAGGGAACGTCATCTGTATGTGGATTGAGTTTCAAAGTACTTTTATAACTTTCTCTTGAGAAGCAGCACCCCCACTTCACTGCTGCTCAAACTTTTTTTTTTAATTGCACTTCTCTAACAACAGAAAGAAAATCTGTAGACCTAGGGATCTGAGGACAGCCAAGGTGATATGTCTAAAGTGAAGGTTTTTCTTAAGATTTTGTGTTCACTTAGATAAAACAAGATATACGTATGTGTGTGTGTGCGCACACGCGCGCATAATAGATATGTACTTACAAGTTTTTTAAATCACTAACCTCCAAATGAAATTGATACCTGAGGAAGAGAGAGTGTTTGGTGGGAACCTTCCTGGGGTTAGCTGTACCTGTGTGAGAAGCAGAGTAAACTTTTCAAAACGTCTTTCTGCACTCAATGGACTGTGCTTTTAAATGAAGGGAAGAATAAACAGATACAGTGTTTTTGGAATTACTATGTGCTTTATTGCATAGAGGTTAATTATAACAAAGAAAATTACCAAGGAAATTGATGGTCATTCCTACCAAACCAGCCTGGGGTGTTGGACAGCTCAGCCACAGTGGGTAAGGATCTGAAGGTGGTAAACGGCAGTGCCTGTGTATGCCTGATGATGTTCCTCTGAAATAATGTTTTGCTTAATAACTTGTTTGTTTGTTGAGACAGGATCTCCCTGTAGTCACAGCTGGCCTGGAACTCACTATGTAAACTAGGCTGCCTTCAATCTCACAGAGATCCACTTGCCTCTGCTTCCCAAGTGCTCTGATTAAAGGCACACACCACCACACCCAGAGTGGCTTACTAATTTTTGTGTATTAACTTTGCCCTCCATGAGCAAAGTAAGTGGGTGTTATTTGTAAACAACATAGAATTTACAGCAGTTATATTTTTCGTCTTCAGAAAAATCTGGAGTTTGTTTCTAAGGAATGTTACAGACTGGAGTTTATTAAAACCCTCGCGACCATGTGTTTGTACTGGAAAGGGGCATCAGCACCCACACACTGCCCTGCTCTTCCCATTCTAGGTGGACAGTATCTGACAGTGTCGGCAGCCAAAGCCACGAGTGGAAAAGCCGCTCGCTTGGTGCTTCCCCTGGGCCACCTCATGCATTCAGGGGACCTGTGCCTGTCCTTCAGGCACAAGGTTACTGGGCTGCACTCCGGCACCCTGCAAGTGTTTGTGAGAAAACATGGTGTCCACGGAGCAGCCCTGTGGGGAAGAAATGGTGGCCATGGCTGGAGGCAAACCCAGATCACCCTGCGAGGGGCTGACGTCAAGAGCGTAAGTAGATCCTCCAACCGAGTTCTTTCCTGGAAGAGCCCTAGGCTCTGAGCTAGAAGAAGCCTTCCTCTGTTCAAAGGTTCATGCTTTTTCTGGGGGTGCTGACCCCACTCACTGCCTCTTTCTGAGTCTTCATCCTTCACTGCAGCCTTTGCTGCCACTCCCTCTACTACCTGACCAGGACCAACTGCTTTCATCGGGGGAAAAAGAGGAATAGAAGCATTTTTCAAAAATTTAAGTTGACAGAAACTTAAGGGGTTTGAGTGTTGTGCCTGCCTTTTCTTTTCCTTCAGTTTCTTAAACTTCCAACTTTTACCACCATAAGCTGCTGTGAAAATGGTTCTTTTTCTATTTTTGAAAACATTTATTTTTGTTTTATGTGTATAAGTGTTTTGCCTGCATGTGTGTAAGTGCACCACATGGGTACATACTAGGGAAGGCCAGAAGAGGACATGAGATCTCCTGGAACTGGAGTTAAAGATGGTTGTGAGCCCCCATGTGGGTGCTGGGGACAGAACCCAGGTCTTCTGCAAGAGCAGCCAGTGCTCTTTACTGATAAATCATCTCTCTAGCCCCTCTTTTTCTATTCTAAGTGTTTTAATACATTTTTGCACTTGGTTCTGAGGTCAGAGTTAAGCAGGCTCAGATGGGAGCCCAGATCCATGATTGGAAAACTCTGTTCAGATGGGAGATGGGGAAAGCTTTGAGTGAATGTAAATTTTATTTTAATTTATTTTAAGTAATCAAGTCATAGGTAGTGGGAAAATGAGCCACGGTATCCCACCAAAACAATGAATGAATTTGGAAAAAAATGTCATCAAAAAGTATTTGTAAGACTTTTACTATGAAACAACAAACAATGCTTATAGAATTTCTTGAAACTTTTAGAAACACAGATTACATTAAAGCTGTCACCAGGATTCTTAGATTTTGTGTACCTTTTGCTGTTTGCTTAGCTTTTACTTAATATTTATATTGGAGAAACAAAACAAGAAAATACATTGTTTCAAATCTTATTACCAAAGCCCTTAATGCTAGCATTGAGGAGGCAGAGGCAAGCAGATCTCTGTGAGATTGAGGTCAGCCTGGTCTACATAGCAAGGTCCAGGCCAGCTTGGGCTATAAACAAAAACAAAACAAAAACAAACAAAACAAAACAAAAAAACCACAAAGTGAGACAAAAAAGAACTACATAATACCAGTTGTAAGAAGCAAGGTTGCCCTAAGAAGGCAGACTGCAAAGCAGAGTTTTGGGTTTTGCACAGATAAAACAGCAGTGTGATTGAATAGTGGTGTGTGCCTTTCTTCTGCTTTGGGTGGTGAAGAGATACAGTCAGGAAAAGGAACCGAGGGTGTCTTGGTTGGAGCATGGCTGATCCTTCAGATTTTACCTCTTCGTTTCTGTACCTTTCCATTGCACCAACACTCTTCCTCCTAAACTCTGGGCATCTTTGACAAGTGCCCACTTTATAAGCATTCCTACAGTGAACTAGTCTAGGGTTAGAATGCCATTTGAGGAGTCACTGATTCTGAGTACTGTGGTCTGATGAGCAGCTTAGTGATCTGAGTGTGTACAGAGAGACAGGCAGACCTGAGGTGAGGCTGCATGACTGTTCTGGGCTTCCATTTTGTCAGAAGTCCAATACTTTGTTTTGGGGAAGGGTTGGCTTTGCTGTGCTATGTTAAGCCAGCACCGGAAAGGGGCTGAGGAGGCTTGACCAATATGTGCGTTCTCTCCTAGGTCATCTTCAAAGGTGAAAAAAAGCGTGGTCACATGGGGGAGATTGGATTGGATGATGTGAGCTTGAAAAGAGGCCACTGCTAAGAAGAGTGCTAGCAACTCCACAGAGCTAGCAGTGCATTCTGTTTTTCTCTTTTTCCAGTCCTCGCCTTCTCATCTCCTTCTTATCAGGCCTAGGGGAAGAGAGCGGGTCAGGAGGAAGGCTGGTTGGTGACTTGGGTCTTGCTGGCCTGCTTTTGTGCAATCCCACTGAACAGTGACACTCACCTTGGTGTACAGAGGCATCTGTAGACACATCCACGCCATTCTGGGGTGCTACCCTCCACTCCAGGTCTCCTTTAGGAAGGCCTTTGGCATGTGTGAGCTATGTCAGCCTTCATCCTGGCTATAGAATGTGCCTAAGAGCCCATTATGGGAGAAGTTTTCAATCTGTGCAAATGGCCATTGTTATCCATGCAGTGTTGTACATGAGTTGTATTGATGGTATGATGTATAGTGTGCTTGTGAAACCGGTTTATCCTTTTCACTTTAGTTCTGGCCTGACCTGAACTCTGACTTTGCTGCCATTCACTTTGTAATGGAAGGGTGTTTAACATATCAAAAAGCATTTATTCTTGTTAGCTGTGTTTTTCTTTTAAAGGCGGTTATGTAGAGTACGCATGTTAGTAGGACTGTATTTTGTGTAAATGTGCTATTAATATTAAGTATTTACATGTTCCTAACATTCACAGACTCTAGTTGCAAGGTAAAAGGCAGCTTGTGATCTCTTGAGTTAAAAAAAAAAAATAGATGGTGAAATGTCATCTATGCCATGTCTTTACACTGGCAGCAAGAAAATTGGTACAGGTGTCCAGTTGGGGCAGCAAGGAATGAACTTTTTTTAATGTCCTTGAGTTTGATCACTACAAAAGAAAGTAAACCATTAAGGGATACAAGAAACTGCAGTTAACATATAAAAGCCCTTACTGTTTTATGTTACATTTTAAATCCAACAGCTTTTACAATTATAATGTGACTCTCTCTTAAGAGACTTTGTAAAAGTTCTATACTTTGGGAGTTAACCTGTAGGGGATGGGTCATCAGAACAGGTTTTCATATTAAATTGACACAAGATCACAAATATAGCTCATTACTTACGACTGAGCTAGGAAACAGGCACTGTGTGCTGGAATGGTATGCACCCAGTAGAGGACAAGATTGGAATTCTGACATCCACAAAGCCCCAACCCCATCTCCTCCCTGAATATTGCCTATATATTAAAAGCACCTAATTTTAAAAATTCAACTTCCTCCTTACACTTCCCTTAATTTCTGATTAAGTAATCAAGGTATTTTCTGCTGTTTTTACTAGGAATCACAGAGATGATTAAAGGGTTGGAAAAAAAAGATCTATGATGAAAAATTAAAGGAACTGGGATTATTCAGCCTGGAGAAGAGAAGACTGAGGGATAAACCACTGATGGTTTTCCAGTGTGTGAAGGGTTGGCACCAACAGCAGGGACACCAGCTGTTCTCCGTGTGCACTGAGAATAGAACAGGAGGAAGCAGGCTTGGGTTAGAGGGTAAGGGAGCACTTCCTGGCAGGGACGGTTGCTAAAACAGAATCCTTTATAATAAAAGAAGTGTGAAAATCAATCTCTTTCCCACCCTCCCTCCTTCCATCCCCCTCCCTCCCCTGTTTAAAAATTATGTATACATGTTAAGTAAGATATGCTTACTTCGAGGTCAAGTACCAGGTTACAGAATCTTCTAGATGATATTTTGATCCTAATAAAATAATGAAAGTCTTCAGAAATAAGTAATTTGAACTAAGCTTTAAGTTGGACATTTCTCTCTTGACTTCTTATTGGACAAGAGGCAAAAAGAAGATGCTAAGCTCACTGAAATATCTTTCACTTGATGGACAGCCTTGCAGTATTAAAACAAAAACAAAAACCCCAACTCTAAGATTATGACAGCTATTCTCATATCTTGGTAAAGTCCTAATGTAGTACTGTTAAATTTTATTTCTGGGTAAATGTATGACCCTGTTCCTTATTCTGTAGATGATTATTTAAATTTGTTTTTTAGAGAGACACACATTCCCTTCCAAGAAACACAGGGCAGAGAGATATTTTTTGTCTGGTGCATTCTCTGCTCTGTGTGATGTTAACTTGGCTACTGATGTGTCGTCAGCCCATTGTTTACTTTCTCTTAGTGGGAATCTCCCAAGTTCCACAAGTTGGTAATGTTTCTTTAACAGGTCCTTTGTCATTTAATTTGGTAGAAACAAGAGCTGGATGGGGGTATAAATCATTTGCGCCTTTGAGTAAAGGCCAGAAAATATGTTCTTAGATCCATTTTTAGTGATTTATTCCCTTTTTGGTCATGTAACTGCACAGCTGAAGATGAAAGGAGAAAATAATTGAAAAATTCACTTTTAGGTGCCAATAATGCATTGCACTACACTGATGGAAGAAGTTATCCAAAGTACTGTATAACATCTTGTTTTTTATTTAATGTTTTCTAAAGTGAAAATGTTCGTGGTTTTCCAAATGGTCAAATAAAAACAATATTTGTAAATAAAAAACACTGTTAATGATACTTGTCTGTTTCTTTTTTGAGCCCTGATTTTTTGTGACTGGGAGGAGATGTGGTCCATTGATGTTTCACAAGAGCCACCTGTGCTGGAACCCTCTTTATGCTTTAGAAGAGTGGGAACAAAGTATATTGGTATAGTTTCTGGGTTTTAAATTATGAGGCATTTTTCATTAGCATGCACAGGGAGGAGCAATGAGGCCACTGTAACTGATGCTATGTCTCAGCAAATTAGTAACACTTTATAATTTCATTGAAAATGTTGTATAACACTCCCAAGATAAACTACAAGTAAATATTTAAATATATGTGCATTATAAAAGTCATTTATTAGTGACTTTGTTAATTTATAACATTTCACTCACAGTCCAATAACTTTTCCTGGTAAGGGGAAAAAACAATGGTAAAGAAATAAAATCTGTGAAACCATGCAAGAATAAAAGTCCTTGCACAGAATTATAAAGACTACACTGAATACCTTCTTTTTTCGCAATACTCAGAGAACTCTTTAACTGCTGGGAACATAAATCTTGGATAGTTCAAGTATGCTTTTTTTTTAAAGATTTTATTTATTTTTTTATTTGCATGAGTGTTTTGCCTACATGTATATAAGTGTACCATCTGTGTACCGGTTCCTTCAAAGGCAGAAGAGGATGTTAGATCTCCTGGAACTGGAATAACAGATGGTTGTGAGCCACCATGTAGATGCTGGAAACCTAATCCAGGTTCCCTGAAAGAGGAGCAAGTATTCAACCTCTGAGCCATCTCTCTAGCCAACAAGTATGCTTTCTTTTCTCGGGGATTCTTCCTAATCCCTTGGAGATCTAAGATAATTCAATCAAAAGTCTGCTGAAGCCCATAGAGGTTGAAGGAAGCAATGTGAATGAGATCCCAAGATATCTTTCATTGATTTGTTTTCATTGATTGTGGTCCTGGGGATCAGTGCTGAGCAGATTTCCCAAGGAGTTTTTTCAGTCTAGAGGAAGAAAGGGACATTTATCAAAATTATAAATGCGAAATCGGTATTCTGAAAAGACGTGGTATGACAAAGGTTCCAAGGCTAAGTGGACTTCAGGACATTAACCAGTGCTTTCTGAACATCACTGCTTGGCAGTGGCCTGTAGCCTTGTTTAAACCTTAGTTCAATGGGGCTAGATTAGGGATGAGAGTCTCCATTTCTTCTTTAAAATTTTTTTCTTTATTTTTTTACATGTATGAGTGTTTTGCCTACATGTATGTAAATGCACCCAGGCCTACAATGCCCATGAGGCCGGAAGAGGATTGTCGGATCCGCTGGAACTGGAGTTATGGATGGTTGTTAGCTTTCATTTGTGTTCTGAGAACTGACCATGGGTGCTCCTAACCACTGAGCCACCTCTCCAGCCCCTAGTCTCCATTCATAATCAGTTCTCAGGTGATACCTGTGTTGCTGGTCCAAGGCCCACAGTTCGAGTAACAAGGCTGTAGTGATAGTGAACTGGGTGGGGGTGAGAGGCTGCCTTTATTATTAGCATTCACTCTTGGATAGGCTAATGGACCATGGTTGTAAAATCTACATTTATAACACATTACTAAGTTATATTAGTATATTTTTTCACCTGAAAAAATTATTATTGAACATAGAATATTTAAACTTGCCCACTTGGTGCAGAACATTGCTCTGACAAATAGCAAAGACTTCAGAATAAGTCTTAACTGAGAACACTTAAATGTAAATGGACCAGGCTGGTGATACATAATTATAATGTAGAGGAAGTGGGGTATGTTGAGGCAGGAGGACCATGAGTTCAAGGCCAGCCTGGACTACATAGTGAGATGCTATCTCAAAAAAATTGAACTGTATACATACAGATACCTCTGTGTATATGTATCTAAATTAGACAGTTATCCAGGAACTCTATATTTTTTAGAGCGATAAATGAATTGGCAACTCCAGGATATATAAACCTGAAAGCAACTTGGAATTACAGCTCCAACTTGATTTGTTGGGGTCAATTTATTTTATTATTTTATTTTTTCATTTTATCTGTTTTGTTTTGCTTTGCTTTGTTTTTGACAGGGTGTCCTGTAGCCCCAGCCCACCTGGAACTCACTATGTAGACCAGGCAGGCCTAGATCTCACAGAGATTCACCTGCCTCTGCCTCCAGAGTACTGGGACTAAAGGTGTGCACCACCACACCCGGCATGGGGTCAGTTTATTAAAAGGTAAACAAATGAGGCATTACCAAGAACTGGTCATTTGATTTCTGAACATATTTCATTATTTCATGCATGGCCAGATCATACTACTGTAGTTTCTTGCAGTTTCTCTCTGCATTAAAGTATCTAAAACAGCAGGGTAGTTTTAACTTTCAAGGAGCAGTTAGTAATGCTGAGAAACAACTCATAGTAGTGTGACTAGCAGTATATTCACACTCTAAAAATTCAAGTTTCCAGTGTTTTCCATGGCATTCCAAGGTATTCCATGGAATTTCAAGGACATAGGTGTCATTGCTTCCCACAACAGATGAGCAACCTGAGTTTAAGAAAGGTGGGGTGACTTGCTGAAGACGTGTTACCATCAAGGGGCAGGGCTACTCTGTGAACTCAAAGGCATGTTGCAAAAAGATCTACTAGACATTTCAAAAGTAATTAGAGAAAGTCTGCTCCAATGCCACTGAAAAGGGTAAAGTGTTTTTAGATGGGGGGTGGGAAGTGGAGAGTTTACTCAGCAGTTAAGAGCACTGACTGCTCTTGCAGAGGACCTGGGTTCGATTCTCAGCACCCACATGGTGGCTAACAACTTTCTGTAACTCCATTTCCAGGGGAATCTTATGCCCTCTTCTGACCTCTGTGGGCATTGCATGACATGGGTGCACTTACATACATGCAGGCGATACACTCATACACATAAAAATAAAGTTTTTTAAATAGAGCAAATAAGAGGGGTTTATATGTTTCATCACACAATGCTAACTACTTTGAAAAATAAAATCCAAGCTGGGTATTGTGGTGCACGCCTTTAATCCCAGCACTCGGGAGACAGAGGCAGGCAGATCTCTGTGAGTTCATGACCAGCATGGTCTACATATCGAGTTCCAGGCCAGCTGGGGCTACCAGGAGACCCTGTCTCAAAAAGACCGAAAAAGAAAAATCCAAAGACTTGCCAGCATTTATCTGTGTGTTCAGGGGATTAGATTCTATGCCTTTTATTCATCATTGAGTATATTTTCAAATCTTCTGTGAAACAACTTGTAACTTTAAAGGAACTTATCTACATCTGGGTCATGACAAAGATACTGGTTTTTTCTATCCTTTTTTGCCATGACACTCATTTATGTTAATATTTCTCACAAGGTCAATAGTTCATGGTCAGAAGGGCAGCTCTGAGTTTCTGTTTATTAATATGCTTGCACTCAGCTGACCCTGGCACCATCCCAGTCTCAAGAACAATCCTGGGGATTGCAAGGAATCTGGCTTTTATTTGCTGCTGTGCCTGGCTATACTTCTCAGGCGCTGTGGCCACTGACCACATTTGGCTACAGCTCAGAACAGTTTATAAACTGTTCTCTCATCTTGTATACCACTTTCTTCCTACTACATAGCAAGTGTTTCCTAAAGCGTGTTTGGTTAAATAGTGGGTTGGAGAAAAAATAGCTAGAAAGACAATTAATGAGATGACTAGGGAAATCCAATTTAGATAATAACATCTCTGTCAAGAAAGAATGATTACATCCCCACTTGCCCCTAGCCCACTTGTTAAGGCGCCATCCTGCTGTGTTGGCCTTCAGCTCTCTTGACTTGTCCTGTGTGGATAACAAGAAAATTATGAGCTAGCCATCACAGATTATTTTGTAGTTTGAAAGTGCTTTTCATTAATATCTTATTTGACCTAATTTAAAAACAAAACTAAAATTCCCCTCATTTGACTGCAATAGTTGAGTATAGATAATCTGAGGTCCTTCATACCATAGACCAGAACTTTGAGGATCATTGGGTTAACCAAATCCCAAAGATGTAAGTAAGTCCTCAGTTTTTTGGTACAATGATTCAACTCTAGACCTGATCTTGAAGTTTCTTCTCCATGGAGAACCAGTAGGGAAAGTCCTCAGAGCCCTGGGAGTATGATGCAGGGGCAGAAAGAGGCCTCAGGCTCCCAGTATCCATGTGTTCATACTCAGGAAACCTAGTAACATTTTAACAAATGCACAAAAATAATAAATGCTTATTGTAGCCTGTTGAAAGTTTTCAGAAAGGATCAAAGGAAAGAGGGCGCTAAGAAAGTTCACACCTCGACCTGGACATTGTCGCTCATATTTGGGTGTGTGCCTTCAGACACTGTTCTGTTGGTACCTGTGCTATCTAAGCCCACAGTAAAAACTGAAAACAGAGAATCCCTCTCCTTGAAATTAGCCTACTTTTACTACTTTATTTTAATGGCTGCAGAGTAGTCTGTTGAAGGAGTAAAGCATAAATATTAAGTCCTTTCACTGGAACGTTGAACTGTCTCTGTAGACAAGCCTTTTTGAGATTCCAGAAAGCAATAGTTCACAACCCATTTGTAACTGCTGGCCTTGTTCCTTTCCCTGTCTTGCTCTAGTGACCCATGGAAACATTCCTTAGAGGCCTGACATGTAGCACAGTAGGTCAAATTCTCAGAAAAGCCAGACCTGAATGGATAATTGTCCTTTAGAGATAAGAATCAGGAACTGTCCAATAGGAATCTCTTTTTTGATCCAAAAGCATTTAATTAAAAAACTATAGAGGTGTGTGTTGCTCCATGTATTTAAGTACACCACCTGTGTGCAAATCTGAGGAGGCCAGTAAAGGACATTGGATCCCCTCAAACTGAAATTACAGATGGTTGTTAGCCGTTATGTGGGTTCTGAGAATTGAACCAGTTTCCTCTGCAAGAGCAACCAGTGCTCTTAACTGAGCCATTTCTCCAGCCCCTAAAAGCAGTCTATTTTAAAACAACACAATGTACAGGCCAAAAGAATGAGCTTCTGCCTCCCATCTGCTCAGT